TCCCAGCTGAAACCAGGGCAATAGTCTGGATATTTTAGCTTACACAACTTGCTGTCTCCAGTAACGTGGGCATTACAGAAGAAGTGATTGCAATCATGTAAACGAGGAAAAACTTGGCAGGTAAATACAATAAATCCATTTCATTCAAAGAGAACATCACAGTAGAAAAGCACTGAAAGGGACAGAGAAGAAAATAGGAGTGTCTYATTATCTTGCATATCCCTAACAGGAACACCATTGTTCTTCCACTCAACTACCCCAAACAAGGAGTGCTATTCCCATGTACCAGCCTGCTCTGGTTCACAATCGAGAAGGTGAACAACTCTCTCCACAGGGAATGCATTAGACAAATGCAGCAGTCCSTGAGCACTGGTATGTGTGAAAACCATTGTCCTTTGAATGACTGCCTATTCCTGATTTTCTGGCTGCTAGACATTCACCCAGTCACACTCTCACTTTACCGATCCTGAACAGAAGCAAGGACGTAAAGGCTCAGAGGTCACTTACCAAATGACAAGGCAGACTCAATGCAAGGAAAATYAATTTATTGTCAAGTAAAAGTTGAGTAGGATGGCGAGAGACAAAAAGTACACTTCCCCTCCACTCCCCTCTTCCCAGGCTCAACTTCACTCATTCCATTTCCTCTACTTCCCAACCCACTACAGTTCAGGGAGACAAAGAATGCAAGTCATAGAATCACAGAATCATTTAGATTGGAAAAGATGTCTCTGATCACAGTCCGACCATTAACCCAGCACTGCCAAGCCCACCACTAAACCAAGCACCACATCTACAAGTCCTTGAAATACTTCCAGGAACAGTGACTCAACCACTTAACAGCGAAGCTTGCTCCAGGGCTTGACAACCCGTCCCATAAAGCAAAGTTTCCCAATATCCAATCTAAACCTTGCCTGGTGCAATTTGAGGTTACTTCCCCTTCTCTGATTCCTTGTTACTTGGGAGAAGAAACCAACTGTTTCAGGCAGTTGTAGAGAGAGGTGAGGTCCCTCCTGRGTCTCCTTTTCTCCAGGCTAAACAGCCCCAGCTCCCTCAGCTGCTCCTCACAGGACYTGAGCTCCAGACCTTTCAGCTGGAGTGGAAAGTTCTGTTTCCCTTCTCGGGACTTGCTTCAGCACCTCAAGATCGTTTTTGTAGAAAGGGACAACACAGAACTGAACACAGGATTCAAGGTGTGGCCTCACCAGGGCTGAGTGCAGGGTGATAATCATTGCCTGGGTCCTGCTGGGCACACTATTGCTGATCCAGGCCAGGATGCCACRGGCTGCACSTTYCTTCARAGCATCWCTCCTCCTGCTGYAGCRTRGGGCTGACTATTGTACACTCAGGTGAGAGAGCTCTCTGCACCCTGTGCCTCTAGCCATAGCAAATGTGCGGGTGCTACTCCRACRCTCCAGTACAGTTTTCACTTTCCTMAGGCACAGTRAACTGTGATGTTAGGCTAGGAAATTCAATCTGACATCTCTAGGCCAAGAAACACATTTATGAATGGCCCCTCTTGTTACACAACTACAGCTGAGCCACTGACCTCACTGTAAGACACAGCACTGTCAGCCTGAGCCCAGCCAAAGCAACGGAGTGAGGGATACAGCAAACAGCTCTGGCACAGCCCATTGCTCCCTAACTGCTCATAACAGAAATACCTTTTAAAGAAATACAGCACTTTTTGACAACACCTTTCCATCCAAGATGAGTGGAATATCCTGAAAAACCACATGGTGAAACAGATTTCTGTGCACACAAGAACTTTATGTGAAATGGAATGCTCAGGTCACGACTCAACTCAGCAACGCCCTATCCTTTTCTGGCAGCTGTTACCTTGCTGGGGTGGCATCAGTCAGTACAGATGACARATGTCAGGGGCCTTGACACTTTACAAAAACACTTCAACATATTCCTGGCCAAATTTCTCACCCAACTCTCTCCTGCACAATAAAATAATATCTGAGAAAAACGCTATATTAAAAAAGGGCACATTTTTTTTTAGCTTCACAACACACTTTTTAAAATTAAAGTGTCAACYAGAGATAGCTAAAGCAATACAGAAGTAATATAGACCCGTGACTACTTAATACATTTATAATTTTCAGTTTACAAGTATCTGTGAACAAAGGTAAAGGTGTAAAAAAATGAAAACTAACAGAGGTGAACATGCATTATGAAAACCTAACTGAGAATAGAATCCCATTATTTGTTTCTCATTAAGGTACTTCAGCATGAGAATTGCACCAAAGACATTCCAGCTAAAGTTCCCTTAGGTAGGTTTTACCTTTTTTTGTTATTATTTTCACAAGGATTACAAATTGTCAGGGCCTATTGCAAAAAGCTATGCAGACAGCATGACTTGGTTAAGCTGTTAAATATACAAGACTTTTTCCATGTTAAAACACAATTTACACCTATGCCAATTGGTTCTCAATCAGTCTGCAGATGGATTTTTATGCAGTAGAAAAGTTTCAAACATACAATTTCAGAGCTCTAACTCGAACCCTTTGGAAGTGATATGGCCAAGAACAGCATTTTGGAATTCAAAATGAGWACAATGTTGCAACAAGAAATTTTAATCAAATGCTTGCAGAAGTAATTTGAAAAATATACTCCCAAGACTCAGGATATTATTAAACAGCCCAGTAAAATTTCAGGCAGAGAGAGATAGCATATCACTCTTACATTTAGTTATGAATCTCTTTCCCCCACATCACCAGATACTGCTGGRGAATCTGGAGAATTAAGGGAGATGTGATGTGCACTCCCCCTCTCCAACCCTCTCAGGGCTAAAGTACTCCTGTCTCTACAACCTCCTCACCCAAGCAGCAGACAGGGGCTTTCTCTTTCCAGGAAAAAGAGAAAAGGTCGAGAGGGATGACACTCAACTCARAAGCAGAGCAGGGGAAAGTGGCTCCTTTCCTTCTCTTCTCATTACCTTTGCTTCTCATTACTGTGCAGGTCTTACCCCTTCCCATCTCACTGGTGAAAAAAATTAGCTTCACGAGTTCAGAAGTCAGCTACACAACTGAAGACTGAGGGGAAACACAAGATTAGTGCTTCTGATGCCCCMACAACATCAGATCCAAAAACATTGCTATTAACTGTACACATTTACAATCATCATTATGTGCATTTAAAATATAATTATCTGAATTATAATGCATGATAACTTGATCCCAAAACTCACTGCCTGACATATAAATATTGCCCAGCTGTTGCTCTCAGGACACCAAGATGAYCCAATTGTAGCTGTAAGGCATGTTACTTGTAGGCATGCCAAAGCACTGCAAACAGAAGACAAAATACTTACAAAACACGCTAAATATGTTGAAAACCATAAAGGAAAAAAAAGTGATGGAATCACTCTTCCATTGTTTTACATTATTTTCAAGGTCTCGTTTATATGCAGGGCAAAGCCCCCAGTCTCTGAAGAAAAAAAAAAAAAAAGCTATCCCAGTTGTAGACCTGCTGGGTGACTTCTGAACTACGTATTTGCAAAAAAAAAACCCCAACCTTTTTAAACCAAACTCTTGCACCATTCAACCAGGCTACAGAATCCCCAGGCACAACTCACTCAAACTAGCAAAACCCAAGTTCACCAAACTCACACTGGTAACTCAGATTTAAGCTCATATAATTAAAAAAACAAAAAGCAAGCACTCCTTAACTTCTATTTTTTCCTATATATTATTTAAAAGAGAAAGACTTATCAACTCAAACCAGAGAGAAAAACACAAGCTTTTCAAAGTTGAACTAGCAAATGTCTTACTTCTAACTGAAAAGCATTTAAGAAAATGAAATAGCTGTTACAAAAATGACAAGGAAATACCCACATGAATCAAAACCAAGATCAATCAYACTAAAAGGAAGTGTTTATCAAGAAAACTCATTTACAGTAATAGTATCTTGGGTGAAAGGTGATATTCCACACTGTTAAAGAAAGGTTCATGAAACATTATCCAAGTTGAATAATGAGAGAGAATAATACAAAATCCTGAAGTTGTGCTTTTAAGTATTCTAAATCTAAATGGAGTGTTTGTAATTAATGACAGAAGACCTACAGAGTTACCACTGAGTTGGCAAAAACAATATTTAGAGAAAGAGCATTTCACATAGCCACCAACTTTACTGACAAAAAGAGTAAATATTTAAGTTGAAGAATGTGAACTGCTCCTGATGTTTATTTCTTTGGGGCTTTTTAATGGCAGCTATCTCAAAGACATCAAACTTTCAMCTTCCTTTTCTCTAAACCTCTCTGTTGAAAGCTGTCTTGTAAACTGACTCAGCTGTCTCCTGGGAACTTCCTTAGCTGTTAAATGAAGGGGTAGAAAAATGTTAAATCCACAAGAGATGCGTATTGTTAACTCTTTGAGGAAAGCAAGTATTAGTAAGAAACTGAATACACATATTCTTTTTGAAAATTTCACTAAAGTACTGTGAAAATATTAAATCTGTAAGGTTTCAAATTCTATCAGAGCTCTACTTTAAAAGCATTTATATTATTATTCAAAAATAAAACTTTCTTGAATACTCTTGCTAGTTGCTCCACTTCTGCTTCCCCTCAATACCTGCAAACACATTTCCATCATCCCTTGAGGCATTTTTGTCAAATGATGGTTTCCATGAACCTGTGCAAGTCTCCTTTCAAGACCTCTGATCACTATTCTGATTCCTCCAAAATAACATCTGGAACAGTGAGTGAAAAAAWTTACATCMTGTCAGTGAGAAAATTTTTGTGAAMAGCATCACTTGCCTATGCTCCGGTTTGCATGTGTCAAATGGAGAAAATAATACCCTGTACTGTATTTACTTTAACACAMAACCATTCAAAAGCTGTAGTTAAAACGCAAATTACAGACTGCCCTCCTGACTCAGAATCCCCGAGCCCGGCACAGTAAGTAYTTCCACTTGGTATAAAATATTTTAATATGTAACTATTGCCAATTATATCGGTAACGCTACATTATGCTGACATGACGCCCCGGCAGACTTACTTGCAGGATCACATCCSCAAGTCCCGCCGGTGATGTCCATGAGGGGTGTCCCGCACACACACAGGGAAGTCGTGAGCTGCACAAGACGACCCAGTTTCAGCCACGTATCCGATGCTCTAAGTCCGACGAGGTGCAGTTAAGCCAAGCCCTTTCGCCCTTTCGTTAACGATTCCAAACGGAAACAGCGGCCGGGCAATTCGTTAACCCAGCGCTCATTTCTAAACCCTCCCCCGCACGCAATTTACCCGCTCGCCCTCAGGACGGGCAGCTCC